CTCCCCCCTTCCGTCACACACACCTTGCCTCTGGAGCAGTGGTTCTCAACCTTCTGGCCCTTTAAATACAGTTCCTCATGTTGTGACCCAACCATAAAATTATTTTCGTTGCTACTTCATAACTGTAATGTTGCTACTGTTATGAATCGTAACGTAAATATCTGATATGCAGGATGGTCTTAGGCGACCTCTGTGAAAGGGTCGTTCGACCACCAAAGGGGTCGCGACCCGCAGGTTGAGAACCACTGTGTCTGGAGCGATAACATCAAAACCAGTCAAGTGACATCCTGGCTGCTTCAGGACCAGCTGCATTGACTAATGACCCCTGCCCTGGTGCTGAACAATCAGAGGAGATGATGACCCTGAAAGAGCACTCCTGGAAACTTGAGGAATATTCTATTGAGACCTTCCCCTGAGACCTCCCCTAAGAGTCCCACCTACAGAGAGAAATAAATACCCTCAACACAAAGGACCCAGTTCTGGCTCTTCCCCAGGGGAGCACACCTGAGCCGTTCCCTCTCTCCCTCTTCCCTCTTAAGGGACCCACAAACCTCGCAACCAGGGGAGCAATGGGCAGTGGCAGTTCGCCAGGCTAACCCCCTGGACCTGCCTCCAAGGCCCCCCTTTCTCTGACTGCTCAGTGAGACAAAGCAGACAGCCTAGGCCAGTGATGGTGAACCTTTTGAGCTCGGCGTGTCAGCATTTTGAAAAACCCTAACTTAACACTGGTGCCGTGTCACATATAGAAATTTTTTGATATTTGCAACCATAGTAAAACAAAGACTTATATTTTTGATATTTATTTTATATATTTAAATGCCATTTAACAAAGAAAAATCAACCAAAAAAATGAGCTCGCATGTCACCTCTGACACGCGTGTCATAGGTTCGCCGGCACTGGCCTAGGCTCTCCTGTTGCTTCTCCTATGCTCTTCCTTGTCTCACTGTCCTAAGTGTGTTTTTGCTGCAGCCAATAAATTTTGCTGTACTTTGTCTCTTAATTTAAATGTTTCCTTCAAGAAGACAAGAACCGAGGTCTTGTCGTCTCACTGGTGTAACACTACCATGATCTGGCAATTCCACTTCTGGGTATATTCCCCCAAAGAATCACAAGCAGGGTCTCAAACTAATATTCATACCTCCAGTTCATAGCAGCATTATTCACAATAGCCAAAAAGTGGAAGCAACCCAACTGTCTATCAATGAATGAAGGTATAAATACAATGTGTACGACTATAATGGAATATTGTTTTGTCTTAAAAAGGAAATTCTGACACCTACTACAACATGGATGAACCTTGAGGCCATCATGCTCAGTGGAATAAGCCAGTCAAAAAAAGGACAAATACTGGATGATTCCACTTATATATAGGTCCCCAAAGCAGACAAATTCTTTAGAGAGTAGAATGGTGGTTGTCAGGGACTGGGGCAGGGGGTAGGTAGTTTAATAGGGACAGATGTTCAGTTTTGCAAAATGAAAAGGTCGTGGAGAAGGATGGTGGTGATGTTAGCACAATGTCGATGTACTTAACGCCACTGAGCTGTACACTTGAAAATGGTTAAGATGGTAAATTTATGTCATGTGTATTTTAACAAATTAGGACTTTTTTCTTCATGACCATATAATTCAAGCTTTATAAAGGTTATTAACATTTGAAGATTCAGTGGAGAAAAACAACACCCCTTTTATTCTACCATATTGCTTTACCTTCACTGGAAATGACTGGCAGATTTGTGGCTGTTTAGTCTTGGCTTGAATTATTCAAGATGACTACAGCTTCCTTGCATATATTATTTCTCCTCCAAGAGACCCCTGTGCTTCTAAGTGTTATAGCCATGGAAAATTCTGTTACCTGTGGGGTCCTCACTAGCCCATTATAATTTCTTAATCAATGAAGGCAGGTTTGGCTTAATATGGAATATGCAAAAATATTTATATTCTACTTTCAACATAAATCTACGCCATTAAATTTCCTGAATAGAAAGAATATATATATATTTCAACTGGCTGCTGTCATTTGAATTTCACAAATCTTTGGTAGAGCGAACATTTTATTTTTTCCTGAAATGTTGATTGGGGTTTCTTGTCAGAGATGATGAGGATTAAAAATAATTGTCTATAATTTTAACACCAGTTATCCTACTGATAAGCAAAATGGCAGCACTGTGACATTTTAGATTATTGGGGTTACAATTTAAAGTACACATTTGAGAACTAGTCCTTTATAGTGTAGTTTAACATTATAGTGTAGTTTTTAAATGACTATATTTCTGTGCCAGGCCCCTTACGATGCATTATCTTATTTTATTCTTCACACCATCTTATACACTTTGCCCTCTCTATTTATAGATGAGGAAACTGAGGCTAAGAGAGTTAGAAGCAGGCCTCAGATATTTAACTAAACAGTGGCAGAGCGGGATTTGTCTGCTCAATTTTAGAATCCTGCATGTGAATTATTGCATATTATAGAATTCACTGCAGTAGCATCACCATTCTGATCAATTTTGTGATCAGAAGGCTCTGCAATCATCCTATAAACACCTTTTTATTTTATAAATCCTCACCCAAGGATATTTTTTCCAATGATTTCTAGAGAGAGTGGAAGAGAGGGAAGAGGGGGAGACACAGAGAGAAACATTGACATGAGAGAGACACATCAATTGGTTGCCTCCCACATGCGCCCTACGGGGC